CTGAGTTTGCTCAGTTTCATGCTCATTGCTTCAGTGATGCTGTCTAACCATCTCATCCTCTCCCGTCCTCTTTATAGTATTAAACAATACTATAGCATAATTTTAAAAAATCAAAAAGCCCTCTCCCAGAAAAATTATACAGTGGCATTTTAAAAAAAATGCAGTTTGGGAATATATATATATATATTTATGAACAGATAACCTTGTAAAAACCATATTCCCCAAAAGGCATTTATACAGACAGGTATGTAAGGAATTACTTTAACAGTACTAAAAGAATGGAGATGAAATGTAAGTAAAATAATCTTCTACTTCAAAGTTCTTAGCTGTTGTACTAATTTCTCACAGTGCTATTTCCTATAGTTTTAAGTACCATTGATCCGAAGATGTTTCTGCTTCCTCAAGACTTCCTACTCCCTTAAAATCCTGGGGAAAAATGCCAAAATCAGGCCAAAACTGGCAATTTGAGACATTTGGGGGGACTTGGGGGGGTGTTGGGTGATATAAACTTGGGAACTAGAAATAGGTTGCCTTATAGGGCATCATTATGGTTTCCTGTACATATAAAATCATTACATTGAAACTAGCCTTATTAAAGGGGAATTTAGACTACTTTTCCTCTATGGTTCTTCAGCAATTAACAGATTGGCAACTGCTTCTGTTCTTCAACCTTATCAGTCTATTTTCTTTTTGAAAGAAAAATACATTAAAAAGTAGACCCTGAAAATAAGAAGAAATATCAAAAACATGTCCAAACTCTACAGTACTTGTTTTTTTGTTGTTGCAGAACTGATAATGTGGAAGTAGAAACAGTTTTGTTTTTAATTAATTTCTTCACATCTAATTCAATGGGAGGAAAACAACTAGGCCAGCTCCAGATCATTTTCCTCCCTCCGTAGGGGACAAGTAGAGAGTTGTCTACAAGGTCTTTTGCACTCCACACTGGCATGCCCTTCCACCCACTGCTGTAGCTTCAGCAGGAATGGTAGATGAACAGGGGTAACAGAACTACCCATCATTGCCACAAGGAAGTATTCGGCTCCATATCTTTCTCCATCTGCAGACAAGTTTCATCCTGCCACCCCGCTGAGACATCTCCCTAAATATCACACCAGTACAACTGTATATAGAGACTGAAAGCAGATGGGCTCCCAGGTCAGGTGCCCTTTTGTTCTCTAGCAAACCCCCACACTGTATCATCCATAACATTTCAGTCCATCTCACCTTTGTTTGAATTCCGCTGGGCCTCTGTTGCTCCTGAGACTCAATACAATAACCGCGACATAGCTTTGCCACTAGTAAGGACAGCAGCACTGTCAGCACAAGGGAACACTTCATTTTTTGTCTTTTTTCCTGAGGGAGGAACAGCTTGGAAAGAGGAAAAACATAATTAAAGGGTGCAGGGGAATTCAGAAATAGATAGTAGGGGGGAAATCAGCATGGAAAAGAAAACTGCCAGGTGCACAAGAACACAGAAATATCAACAAGCCTATCTTTTCTAATGATACAAAATGAAGCCATTATTTTCATTTTTTAGGAAATTAATTAATACATTTCCTCTCATGAGATTTCAACTACAGAATAATACTTGGTCACTTTCTGAAAATAGGAAAGTAAATTCTCTCTAAGTCTTAAGAAAATATACTTCCATTCTCTATTTGGTGAGCATGTTTATAAAATGTACATCAGTGAACACAAATATTTTTAACAGCAAATATTCAGGAGTTTACACTTATCTTTTAAGTACTTCAATACATGCAGCAGATTAATAACAAATAAATGTTTTTGCTTTCTTCCTCTAAGTTCAGGGCTTTTATTTTATTTTAGTTTTTTAAATTCTACAACTTCATTTTTTAATCAGGTACACACATTTTAAAAATGACTTCTTTTTCTTTGTTCAGGCTGAAGATGGCATTTCTCTTATATATAAATGTTAACATAATGATTTCCAGCACTGGGAACATGTGGAAAGATGATATAAGCCATCTCTTATAAGGAGTTAGTCCGTTCCCAATCAACAAAGCTTACAGTACAGTTAATGGGATCACTCACTGACTTGCAGGCTGTATGTGAAGAACTGCTCAATGGGCACTAAGCAGCTAATTTACAGGTCTGCAACTTTCTGTATTTTAATTCATTGTACAATTATAGAATTCCTATTGCATTTTTTAATAAATAATAAAGTAACAGGACTGCTCAAGATTGATAATCAAGACTGCTACTGTGGTTCATTTCCTTTTAATTATAATCTGCTTAGCTAAACCTCTTTTCATCCTTGCTTCTTTAACGCATACTTATGTGTAACCCAAAATTTTAACTTAACTAATTAATTTTTGTACTCAGCTGTACACTATTTCAAACTAATGGCATGATCTTGAGTACAATTATAATCCTTATAAACTTTATACTATAGATTTATAATCAAGGTTATTGCTATTTTATATTAATGGAAAAATAAACTTCCCGTTTTCATTGCTTTTGTTATACTAATTTTATGCTCATTCACAGATGTGGATGTGTTTTTAGTAGTATCTCTTGAATATAATCCAGATATCCTTTCTTATAATTCGGGTATATTTCAATGTTTCCAGTTTTAATAAATGCACATAAATACATTCAAACAAGCTATATGGTTGGTGGGGTCTCCTAGGAAACTATTAGGTTTGCATTGTAAACCTCGGGGGAGGGGGAAATAAACACAAACACAACTTTTCACACAGAGGGTCCCCAACTTTCCTACATAGAATCTATGGAATCCACACCCCAGGTTCATCTGACACACTCTGCAGACAAAGAATTTGTCACTCTCTCAGGCCATTTAACTTCTTGTACACTTTTCTGCTCAGATGTACTGTAAAGTTGTGTTTTAGAACTCTTTTAATCTCCATGGTTAGTTTTTTAAATTTGTTTTATAGTGCTTCTTAGTTGTTTGTGTTAAGTCAAATTGCATTTACATTTCTTAGGAGTTTTAGTTATTGAACTTTATTTTAATCACTTTCATGTGTTTTACATATTACTGTACTCTTGAATTCTAACAGCAGGAAAGCTCATAGGCTGGCTGAATAAGTAAAGGAACATATTTTTAACCTACAATTCTAAGTTACAAAATGCAAAATCATATGACTTTTTTAACATGCATGTAAGCTTTATATCTGCATGACTTGTATGCATATAATATATAGCAAAGCCCCATAAAGTTCATGCAAAACTCCTGCAATTTAATTCATCCTGAGGAATACGTTCACACACACATATTTGCTTGCATTAAGACTCTATATTGTCATATAAAACAAGTGTGCTGTTAGATTTTCATGCACATACTCTCCCACATCTAAGCTTTTGCTTGTTCATATTCACGTTTCAACATTTAACTGCTCACGTACATGCACCTCAGTCATACATTCACTCAAACATGATCAGCCATCCAGCGCCATTCATGCAACTGCTTAAATATACATAACGATAATCTGTGAGCAGTCAGCAGTCCTGGTTCTCACCTATCCAGTGGTTTCTCTAGATGAGAAATACAAGTAGCCAGCAGAACCAGATTAGCAATGGAATAGACTACTTGGTGCTCTTGGTCTTATCCCCTTTTTATTTATTTTTTCTTTAATCCTCTTGGTTTATCTGAAAACCTTAGATACATGTGGCCTGTGCATACAAAACGTCAGATGTGAAGCAGCCTTCAGTATCCTAGGATGGAGTTTGCCTGATCACAGCAGCTACTCTCTTTCCCCTGTTCTACTCCACAAGTGTGACGGCAATCAAAACATGCATGTAAACACTTGTGTCATACTCATGCCAGTTCTCAAGATGCCAGGCCTTCTTATAGCTTTCTGTGGGATGCATACTCAGAATCCTGTGAAATGTCTATCTACCCCTAATACTATGTGTACCTCTTCTTGTGGACTCAGCATGACTAGATCAAGTCCACACTATGGTCAGGAAGAGACTGGCCAGGAAGAGACAAGCATATTGGTGCTCACTGCCAGTCTACCTAAATGATTGTCTCTTGCGCTATAAAAGCAGAGGAACAATTGCTACCATCCTTAATCTGGACCAAAGTATCAGACCAAATGTGCCATTATTGTGCATTACATAGAAAGATCATAAAATTTTAGAGTTGGAATAGATTTTTGAGTTCCTCTGGTCCAATCCC